ATTTCCTTTGTCTGAGTTCGCAGACCCCAGCCACCCATATAAACCATACGTCTCTGATCCCGGAGTCCCCGGCAGTAAGTGGTTAAGCTGCCAATAAATTTACAGTGAAATGTGTGCTGCCGTGAGTTATAGTGAAGATTGTTTGTCACTACTCGCATAGACACAGAAACAGCTGTACTCTCATCGACACATACACGTATTTGAATATTGATATTTCATTCACAGCCAATCACAGCACAAATGACCAGTTGATTCCCAGGTTGTTGTTTTACGTACATCTACGTACACATGTACAAAAATCTTGCACTTCAAGCCGTGCGGAAAAATGCCCGCACACTGTCCCTGTACGCACAAACATACACATACTGTACATGTACATTAGATTTAATCTCGTGTCTTATGGCACTACAACTTTGTCAGAGAGAAGATGAATAAAAAAAATGGAAAAAAATCAGCAATTGTGTAAGAAAAACAAGGGAAATCTGGCCGGTCCGAGGAAAAAGCGGAAAATAAAATTTGGCATCCTCAACAAAAAAGTGAAAATCTACTAAAAAGCAGAGATTTTACACTCCTGAGATTAAAAACCATCAAGCTGTATTGCTGTATCAAGCTGTATTGCTGATGAATTCATGCACCACTTGGGTTCAGGGTCAGGGCCAAAAAAAGTATTTTCTGGAAAAAGACAGAAAGAAATGTGACAAAAAAAATGATTGTTTTCATTAATTCTAAATAGGTGGCCTGGTGGGGCCCCATCTCCCAAGGAATGTAAGGCCTTATCCGAATCACCTGGCTATGGCTGGAATTTACACAGGACTTAATGGCAACTGGCGGCAGTCACTGCCATAGACTCACGTGTAATTTTCAGCCATAGCCAAGTGATTCGGACACAGCCTATGACTCACATCGATATGGCTTGCATTGATGTAGTCAGAGCCTTCAACACCTCGTATTGGCTGCAAACATACACGGGTTGATTCATCTAAGATACAATAAAACAAAATAAGGGAGGCAATTCAGGTTAACTTTCTTGAACACATACACACATCAGTTTGTATATTGGAAATTCTTAAACCTACATTAGAAAATCTGAATCTTTAAATTACTGCCATTACTGCCAAACTCCACAGCAAGCTAAGGCACAAACTATTAGTACTTATTATAACAAGCAATGAGCCAGTTTGGTATTTCAAAAAGCCAAGGTTTTTTGGGAACAAAGTGCGTGTGTGCAGCTGTGTCAGTGACAGACTACCAAGCGCACATAGTAAACTGTACAACAATATAAAACTTTTAAACCTAGAGAATCTGAATCTTTTAATTACTACATGTAGTTTGCATGTTCATTGTAAAACTCCATGGCAAGTGCAGTTAGGTGAGTGCGAGAGTCCTGAATAGCCTTGTGCTGGGCGTGCGCTATTGGAACACTGAACCGGCTCATTATATCATCAACATTCACTGATACCTACTAGTACATGTACATAAGTTTTTCCTAGGAACAGAGTTAATCAATATTGTATGCTTCAATATAATCTGGGTTTTTTTTAGATGAATCCAGTGACCATAGCCCTATTGCTGGTTATTCACAGAGGATCACTTTGATGGCGTTAAGAAGGCGTTAACAATTGTGATAACCATTGTACAGAGCCTTTTGCCACAGAAGGAGGCCATCTGGAATATCGAATGACAAATTAGCTGGTTTCATTTACATGTATATGGTATTGAGAGTAAGGTGTCCATGATGGACAACTGACTTAATTCATGGGTTGGCTATATTGAAATTGAACGTGAAGTTACCTCTTCATGTTTGAAAGTTTAGAGTAGACATTACTGTGATAAAATGAAATTTCATGACAAATTAGCACCTGTACGACTGACGAATAACTTCAAATTATAATTAAACACACAAAATTCTATCTAAGTGTTATAAGCCAAATTTATAAAAATGTTGAAAGAGAGACTTGAAATGTGTGGCAATCGTAAACTGTCTGGTGACATCCTAATCCAGGGGTGAGACTGACCAATGACAAAAATAGCTGAAAACAGCTGACAAAAGGCATAAAAGAAGCTGAACAGTGAAAATATCCTATACTTTTGTACACAGCCAGTGAGGAAAACAAGCTGAAATCCAAAACAAAAAAGCTGAAATCAACTGAAAAGCTGAGAAATCTCAACCCTGTAATTGGAAGTTTGCTATTTATAAAACAGATTCAGGGAATAAAATCAAATGCGGCTTCCATATGAATAAAGTATATTGCTGAGGAAAAACTGGCCTTTTGAATGAGGGCGGTGGAAAATGGAATTATTTCCTGAACCATCATACACCATGAATGACAATGAAAAGTGGTTTGTGAGATCACTGAAATATACTTACATGGCAGAATGTTGACCAATCGGTTCTTGAACTTGTTGGCTGGGAGATTAGCACTCACAAACTTGGAAGGCAAAGCCTTCTGATTGGCCAGGCGCTGAGTTAAGAGAAAAACAAGAAGTACCATGCAAGCACAAGAACAGCTCCAAGTCTGCACACAATGTACGAGGTAAGCACTTTTAAGAAAGTATATGGACAGTGAATAGGTTTAATTTCCCAAATCCAAAGGATTTTCCATTCGAGTAAAAAATACTCACCCCTGTTTACGTACATGTACATGTACGCTCGCACATTAGCATGCATGTACAAGGAAACTTGCTGAAAAAGTCACCCAAGCCACATTCCTCCATGTATACCGCATGTCCCCCACAAAGGGTTATGTAACAGTCTTATCCTTTTTTTTTCATTCGGGGGAGGGACAGTAAATATAGGTGAGCGTTTTCTTTACCAGAATGGAAAATCCCTTTGGATTTTGGATATTCCATTACAGAAATAAACTCACCTCTATTCACCTACATTTACAGAGTAGTACTGTTACCCAACTTAAAGGGAGGGAGGGAATATGCAGGGTGAACAGACGGTGTAAACTGAACCTACAAAAATGTGAAAAGGTTGCTTAGACATATCCGGGAGGTGCCTATCTAGTTGTAAGTAGTTGTACATGTTGTATGGGCTGTTGATCAGCCAACCTCCAGAAGGACTTTCCTACCTACAAGTCCTTCAGATTGTATCATATCTTTCAAGGAGCATGATGTGAAAGTGTTTGGGTATTCCAGCAGGTAGCGTTCATCTCTGAAACAGAATCTATAAGCAGCTGGGGGCAAGAGGCTGACATGCTGCATATCTCGTGGGCTTTTAAGATTTTGATACTCTATGATCGGAACAACCTGTTATAACTGCCTCTGAAATCCATTCTTTGGGGGGGGGGAAAATTCAACCGACTGATTCTTGGTAGGATACTCTGTCTGTTGAATAAGGGTTTCCACCGAATATGACCTGGTTTTATAGACGGGGCACGGATTTCACTTCTTCACTGAGCTGTTGCGGCAGCCACTAAACACACATTCTTTAATTGTAAGCTAAGAGATGAATTCTTTGCTGGTTCAAAGGGAATAAGGTATATGAAACTTATACCCATATCCCAAGAAGGGACGAGATTCTTGGTTGGGGGTTGCTCTTTAAACATGCCTCACAGCAAATGTGATATTGAGGAGTTTGAGGAGAGAGTTGAGGCATAAGGTCCATCGGGGCCATTGGGCAACCATAAAATGAAAAACGGGCAATTTTGCCAGTTGCAATCGTATGCTGAGCAATCATTTGTGTTGAACAGATGGCCCACTTCATAGCTACCATTCAGACAGGATGTTTGAAACCACCTGATGAAATATTGACCATGGTAATTGACGATAGTTGCATTCAACAATGGAACTCCTGCAGTCACAGGTATCAATTACCATGCCATTGGCATACCAATTCTTATCCTTGGCTAATCCTCCAAGGTTGACGCAAGGGCACCAAACCAAAAGTGGGGAGTGCGGGAGGGCTTCAAAGGGGTAAGTATGACCTCAAGGACTCCTCCCAGAATACAGCAGGGGGAAAAGTCCACCCACACTTACACAGACAGTCACCACATATGCCGATTAGCACGGGACCTCGGAGGCACTGGTCGGAGTAAAACCTTGTTCTGTGCACCATGAAGTAAAATGTAGAAGTCTGCTGTTGTTGACTTTGCACATGGATTATCATCTGCTCCTGGCTGCCATAGTGGCAGCCTCCTCAGAAAGGCCAGATGAGCACAACGATCCTTCAACAATGCAGGTCAGGCGGAGAGTCTCTGACCGAGGGTAGAGGATACCGGAGCTCGGTTGGTGGAGGTCTTACCTGAGCGGTAGTATTAAAGGAGCTTGGTACAAGAGTCTAGTGAGACGATGTAGGTCAGACGTTGAAGGTCGTGGACTTGTCTTGGTTAATGAGAAATCCCAGTCTTGTGAAGAGGTCGTAGATGAGGTGGAAGCTGACCTGCCAAATGATGAGCCAGTCATCTAGGTATTGAAAGATCATGACGCCTCGGCGACAGAGGTAAGGGAGGTCGAAAAAAAAGGAAGTACCTCAAATTCGAAAGTTTGACCATCATAGATAAAGCGGAGGAACTTCCGGTCCTTGGAGTGGATTGGAATGCGCAGCTATGTGTCCTTCAGATCCACTGTAGAGGCCCAGGCTGGGATCAGCAGAGACTGGGTGACTGTTCCCAAGGTCTCCGTGTGAAAGTGCTGTGGGTAAATGAATCTGTTCAGCAGCTTGAAATTGAGGATTGGGCGCCAGGTGTTTGGCTCCTTCAGGATGATAATTTATATAACGGGTTTTGCCATTAACCAACGTATATTAACCACTTGCTGCGGGGGCAGTTGTTAATGTTGATGATGCTGGTCCGGGATAATTATCATTTTTTTGTGTTTTCAAAATTCTTTAAAAATTCCTATCTTCATTTACTGGACATTGTTCATTTGTGTTCATTGTTTTAATTCCACCATGGTTTAGCTTTAGGCACCATCGCGAAATTGACCAAATAGCTTTTAATCACCACTGGTTGATACAAGTGACTTCTTTGCACCTGTACTTAGCACTTCGTAGGCCTATCCTATACCTGAAGGTATTAGTTTTCAGGCATCATGCATTCCCATGTGTTTCGGGATAGAGACATTTTATTTAACGCATCGCAAATCCCTGCCGAACAATCGAGCCCTGCACGAACCGGCAGATCCGCGGATGGAATGCAACATGCAAGCTTATGTTTAAATGTGCCCGATCTTCCGCATATTGTGAATATTTTTGCTACAAGCTCTTACGTCAGCCAAACCACCGAGCAGCAGAACCAACCTAAAATCATCCGACATGGCACTTCCGAACCAACCTGACCCACACTGTTAGGTTCAGATGGAAGGGCAAACCTGTTATATAAATTAACATCTCCCCAACACAAAAATCTTGAAAAATCCTTCAGGATGAGTAAGAATGTTAAAACGAACCTGTCGTGGGATGGGTGACAGACTGGGCGATAACCCATTTCTGAAAAAGGAAGTTGATTTCCAACTCCAGAGTCTGGCATTGGGTTGAGTTCACGGGGTTTGGAGTCAGACGGAGAGGTGCTCATGAATTGGAGGGAGTAGCCAAAGAAGATCATCTCAAGAACCCATCTGTCTGACCTGGGGCTAATTTCATAGAGCTGCTTAACCCTAACACTCCTCAATCCTTAACCTGTTGGAGGACCGAGGACTGTTAGGGTTAAGCACAAAATTTGCTTAAGCACAAAAAAGCCTTGCTTAAAAAACAAAGGTTACCCGCTCAAATTCTATCTGATTGTCACGCTAATCAAAAGACAGCTAAATGTGATCCAAACACAATATACATCAAATGGAATTTTGGCTGGTTACCTGATATATTAAGCAAAGTTTTCTCGCACTTAAGCAAATTTTGAAATTGGCCCCAGGCATCATGCCAGAGCCGTATGAACAGTTGCAGTCGGCCCCTGATGGGCCTGGGGCCGGGGCCAATAGTGAATTGATGGAATCATTGGCAACATCCCTCAAATGAATGGGGGACGTGGTTGGATATTATGCTGGATATGTGAGATCCACTGGGAGGCTGTGGTCTCCTAAAGGAGGCACTGTAATGTGAAGTCAGGATGAAAGGAGCTTGAAGTAGAGTGGGAAACCCTGAAGCGGTGGGTGAAGCGGAGCAGCCACAGGTGATGGAGCTTGGCGGGCTGAAGCTAGCAGATGAAGTGATGCAGGGGGTAAGAGGATCCGGGAATGAAATCTTGTGGGATGCCTTGATACGCTTGGCCTCCGATTGTAAAGTCTCGGTTAAGTGACCCGCAAAGAGGTTCTCTGCTGTAGAGGGGAGGGTCTTTAAAGCATCTCTGACCCCCGGGTATGGGATGTATATATCACCATCATGGCATTAAAGCGAGATGAGGTGATCAGATAGGATATGCATGAGAACTGTTCAAAGGCTGAAGCAATGTTCTCTTCAAGGGCCCAGAGGGCAAGAGCTTCAAGGTCTGGGGACATATGTAATTGTTCTCACAGGTGTAGGAGAGGTACTCTGCAAGAATGGACAGGAAGGCTGTACAGGGCAGGCTGTAAAACAAGGCTTTGTCGAGTCCGGTTAGAATAGATGACAGCTTGGCCTGGGATCTGTCCACAAATGGTTAATTTCCGTGTGGATGAGATAGTGAGTTGGCATTGATCTTGTCCTTGGTGGCTGCCGGAAGGTCCAGGACAGAAAGTCAACAATGTCTTACTTGGTGAACTGAAAACAATTTTGTGCCTATCGCAGGAAAGGATGCCACTTCTTAGCAGAGGTGAGAACCTTGAATGTCTCTATGCAAGAGACTGGGACTGGGAAGATGTGCGGTGTTGTCTCCAGTCTGGCCAAATGTTGTTTGAAGACAGGGTGAGACTCGGAGTCCTGGCCTGCTGGTGGTAGAGGAGGGAGGCCCACCCGAGATTGGACTCCGGAGGGGTGAGGCTAGTCACAGAGTCGATGACGTCTTCCCCAAAGAGAATTCATGGATATCTGAGGGGGAGTGGAGCGAGTCTCGCTGGGTATCCAAAGCCGGAGGCAGAGCAGATTTGGAGGTGTGGTAATTGGTGGTGAGGGCATCCAAATCGGTGTTGAAGACTGAGATCCCTGGTGGGGAAGGGGCCGTGGCTCTCTTGGCCAGAAGATGGGCTCAGGGAGCCCTATAACACAGGGGACTGGAGTGACGTCAACCCGGCCCTCTTGATTCCGTGTGGCACTCAGGATGGTGAACCCCCTCGACGCCCAGCTCCTGTACTGGTGCTAATAACGCTGAGGCGAATGGGGTTACTCACAACGTGGTACTGAGTTATCAGAACCAATACCTGGCTCTGAGTGGATGTGCCCAGCTGCTCCCACAACGACCGGTAATTTTGTGAAATTGGAGATACAATATTGCTCCAAAGTTACAGGCAAAATTCAAAGTGCCCAAAGTTTGGTTCCGTGCCACTTTCAGGTACGCAATCTTTAGGTCTAGGCCATGAGCAAACTAGTGTTGCAACAGTATTAACCCTAAACTTTCCCAAGTCTACAATTACCAATTTTGGTGGGCTGGATTAGTGTTCTTGCTGGGTTTCAGGTTTATTTCCATGTTACATGTATATATAAGTTAAATAAAGAAATTACTAAAACTAAATTTGTAATAGTATGGGAGAGGTCAGATAAAAAGCAGAAGCTTGTACTGGGTCTGCCCCCTTTAAGGAGAATATGTGTAATTTATACAATTCTTGGGGAAAATATTACTAATACAAAAGTGTGCAGTTCCTCATAAGTTTAATAAATTAATATGGAGAGAATGACCATCCCAATCCCTAGTTCAAAACTACAGTTATAACTTTGTCTGACATTACATATTTACAGTAATAATATACCCTTAATTGTCACTGTCATAAGTTGCCACATTGAGTAGAAATTTTTTAAAATACCTTTTACAAGATGACATTAGTGGACAAGCTGATCTAAGTTTGGGCCCAAAGGAGAAGTCCCTGGTATCTAACGGTTTAGAGGTGTAGAGATGTTCTAACTTTATTGGATTGAGAGATTGGGTGGGCCATGCAGCAGTTCTTTTTGTTCTTTCTTTTCAACAGTCCCCAACTGACCAGTGAAATAATAAATAACATGGATTACACAACTATGAAAGACAAAAACGAAGAGACCCACCACAAGATTTGTGAGTTGTGAACGGTACTTACAGTACATTTGCAAGACTATTCTGTCCCTCTGGAATGTCTTTATTTCCAACACATGAGTAGAGTAGAGTGAATGAATTTATGTAACGAAATCATGACTGCCAAGCTTGTCCCGGGAGTGCTGTGCATTTGGCACACATGGTCGGCTGGCTGGCCAGCAGCTTGGGCTAGGCACATTGTTTAGTGACTGATTTCATTCTTCATACGTTGATGTATAAATCGCCCGGAGTGTAAATGACAGTAGATGCAACTGCAGGGGATGCATATGTATCCTGCACCAGGGAACTAAATCTATCAAGCTCACCATGACGCCCAGAAGTGGGCGCCACATCTTGCCTGGTAGGATTGAAGAAACACAAGTTGCTCTGCCTGTGGCAAAGTTAAGAACTGTTCCAAGGTTGGTTGGTTGTTGAGAAGGCATCAGAGGGGACTTCTCTGTACTGATGATAAAGATCAGTCTGTGTACTTGATTGTTTGCTGGAGGGATTTCCTCCGATACTGACAACTGAAAAAACTGTTGGCAATTCCCAGCAGCTCAGTCTTTTGTTCCAAGTACAGTCTTTTATTACAAGGTTAAGCTCTTTTGTCCGGTTTTGGGCTCCCCGGTTTCATATATAATGCCCATGTAACCAAACCCAGGCTCCCGGCAGCACATGGTTAATACAGACTGGTAACCACTGAAAAATAGTTCTGTCAGATTTGGCAGGTTATCTTGAAGTTATCTCTTTTTCTGGTTATTCCTCTACCGACAATGAAACATTTGTGAAAATACAACTTCACTTTCTGGACACCAACTACTTCATCATAAATTTGTGCTTGAGTTAATTTCAGTTTGTGCATTTCTTAACCGGTTATACATGTAGTTTGATTTTGTGTCCAAAAAATGTCATTTGGGGTCTATTTGTTAATAATAGTATGTTAGAAATGGTAACGTTAGCATATGGACCCTAGTCAACCATTGCTCATGTTTATCTAATCCACACTGCAATTAAATTATCATCAAACAACACTTGTTTCCCAAAGTGCCAATAGTCTGCAACTTACCTTAAATTCACTCTCCATTCCTGTTATAGTTTCCCCAGGCTCAGGTTGGGTCAACTTCTGGATGTGGGAGTAGAGATTCCTTGCTGGTACCTCTGTGTTTCCACTCTGCACTGCCTCTAACAAAGCCTCATGGATGAACACATACTGCTCTTCAGTCTGAACCATGTAGTTACGCTGTGCACGCAGGCAGGTCACATGGCCATATATATCAACTGTCTTCTCATGCTTGATCCTCTCCAACATGGAGTCAATTACAATGAAGGCCCCAGTGCGACCTACTCCAGCACTGCAGCAAGGTACAAGGTAGACAAGGAATTAAGAAAGTTAAGGAATACATGGCCAATTTGTTTTATGTACAGATAACTCAGAGCTGCAACAAATAGATTGCCATTGGTGAAGTGCTCTTTTAGGTTCATTTCAGCTCATGAATATGAAAGCAAAGGAGGTCACACACCTTAAAATATTCTTCTTTTCACTAAGATGCATAAGACATAGAGCCAACGACTTTCTGTTTCAAAAGTGGGTATTTTTGCCAAATCTTGAATTCCGGTTCAGAAATTCAAATTCCATTTCATACCTTAGTAAGCACAGAAAGGAGAGCAAGTTTTAAACTGTGCATGGAAACCATTGGCCCAACCATACCACCCCCCCCAAAAAAAGAAAGAAAAAGAAAAGAAACAAATACATGTATTCTTTGGAAATACGATACAATATTTTCATTTTTTCTTTATTTTCTAGTTATAATTCTAAGAAATCCACACAATAAATACAGCATCCCCCATCCCTTGATTTCCCACCGAAGCGATCATCAAAACTTGCTACAATTATCAACGGACAATTCTTCCGTCACTCCACATGTATAAAATCAAACTGATCATAGTTGATCATAATAGGTTTATGTTGGACATTGACCCGCCATTTTTATTTGGCAGAGATGCAACAAAATTCAGAAAGTTAACATTAAATCTGAGCATTCAAATGAATGTTTGAGACTGAACACTTTGCTCTTCATGGAACACTTCCGAGGACCCATTCAGTTATGGTAAACCAAGCTTACTGGGTTTCGTTTACTTCAAGAAATGTGTAATAAGTCTTCCGTTTTAATGCCGCGGTTTTATCTGTTTCACCATGGGGTAATAGCCTTATTTCAAGGCGTCTATGCGGATTCGCATACTGAATTCCCCACGTGTGCAATAGGCATATGTGTGAGTATGAACTTGTTTGCGATTTGATTTCAATGCTAGTAGTGTGCACGTGTGTGTACTGTACCACATTGCTGACCCAGTTAGCAATGAATCCATATCAATTCAACATGCTTTTGGACCTGACCATCACAAGTGGAATGAAACTCGGCATGGTGACTGAATTCTCTGAGAGAACCCCAGAACTGAAATTTTATGTCAATCGGTCAATTAATTTTTGACATATGGCTTATCAAACTTTTGACTGATTAGCTTGACCTGCTTTGTTTGGACAGCCATATCTCCTGAAGTAAAGCACTGACAGAGATAAAAATGATATCATTTTCAAGCTCTTGAAATGGACTTAATTCATTATATAAATGAAATTTATCCCATGTGCTACAGAAAAGTTATTCAAATATATATCCTTTGACCTTCATTTGGGACAAATGCACATACTTTTTTTGTAGCTTAAGATGTAACAAACATTTCCAGATAGAATTACGGCGGGCACTCTTACAGTTTTTGAGTTTTATTCTAACCTTGGGGAAAAAATGAAAATGTATATGAATACGCCTTTTGCAAGTTAAATTTGAATAAAATCTGGTACACTCAGTTTTTTAACCCCTTGACAACGGGAATTTCTTACGGAAAGCGGACTCGAAGAATCCAGCCTTTCTTGGCCACGAAGGCCACCTGCCAAACTGCAAATTCTTGGTTTGTGGCCCTGCGTGCTCTGCACGCTTTGAATTACACGGTGAAAAGGCTGATTGTTCAGTGGCATGCGGCTCTACTCACCCTTCCACATTCCCGTTGCCTCTTTTCAAAGTGGGGACTATTGTGAAGCTGGTGATTATGATGGAAAATCGGTCTTTTCATTTCTGGGCTACTCACAAAGACCAATTACCATATATACAAGAGCCAGGGTCTGCCTTCTTTCACCGTGTTCGCTCGAGCGTGGGCTGAAAAAATAGCTGAAAAGCGGGCTGGGGATTATGATGGAAAATCGGTCTTTTCATTTCTGGGCTACTCACAAAGACCAATTACCATATATACAAGAGCAAGGGTCTGCCTTCTTTCACCGTGTTCGCTCGAGCGTGGGCTGAAAAAAATAGCTGAAAAGCGGGCTGGGGATCTCAATTTTTACGGTGGCTATAGCCGCCTCGCAGCACGAAGGGGTTAAATTTATGTTAACATAACAATTTGAATTCTCCATACTAAAGTACTGTTGCTCTAACTTGTGATTCAAGGTAAGCTTTTGCTTTCATGTAAGAGACGCCTTACATCAATACAGTTTTTAACGGATCAGAATGGCACAAAGGAACCAGTCAATTCCAGAGATGGTGGTGGCTATGCAAAGGCTCCCCCAAATCATGAGGTAGAGCAACAGTGTCTGTAGCCCAGCGAATTCAAATTGTTATGTTTATGTGTAATCAGATAACTCAGAATACCAGATTTTATTGAAATTTAATTTTAAAAAGGCTCAATTTATATACAGTGTACATGTACATAATGTACATGTACAGGGTAATTTTATGGTAATATGTACATGTACATGTACATATGTACATAAAAAACATGTCACCCTGATTTTAAGAAGTATTATTAATTAAATTTACGAATTTATCTTCAAGAAAGCTTGATGTGCAGTAAAGATGTTATACGAGCCTATGCACACAAACATGCCCCCTGCCTTTGTAATGGAGATCAATGAATTTATGGTAAATTTTGCGGATGTGCATTTCGCTAACAGCACAATGCATCCTGTTAGAATAGTGCCTTACGCTAGGTTTGATATAAAAATAATAATAATAGTGTTTATTTAAAAAATGCTTTTCATACCAAGTATCTCAAAGCGCAGTATAATATGGACATTAAAACGACGAAACATAAAAACATACACAATCATATCTAAATATTAAAATTAATTAAAATACTCATTAAAAAGAAAGGTTTTCAGACACCTTTTAAAACCATCATACGATTGAAACTGATACACTGAAACCGGCAGATTGTTCCATAATCCAGGTGCGCAAAAGGAAAAGGACCGATCACTATAGAAACTGGCAACTCTCTCTACTGGTTAGTGGAGCTGAATTTTGCTGTCTGACCTTGAGCACGACTCTCGATTAGTTACTCGAATGTTAACAAGATATTTCAGGTACACCGGAGCTTTACCATTCAAAATCTTAAAAACCAAGCATAAAAGTTTAAATTCACACCTCTGCTTTATTGGCAACCAATGTAAAGCTCGCAAAACAGATGTAATATGATCATATTTTCTAATATTCATAACCATTCGGGTCACTGAATTTTTAATAAGTTGCATTTTTATAAGATCAAGATCAATAATTCCAAACAGTAAGCTGTTGCAATAATCAAGTCGCAACGTAACAAAGGCATGTACCAATTTTTCAGTTGAAGCTTGGTCAAGCAAATGCCAAATTTTACCGATTCTCCATAAAGCATGAGATGCAGACCTGCATAACTTTGCCACATGAGGCAAAATGGTGTTTGCGTTATCAAAAGTCACTCCCAGATCACAAATACTATCAGAAAGAGAAATGTCAACACCACCCAGCCATACATGTATATCACTCGGGAGTGGCGTGGCAGCCGGATGAAACTTTGATGAAAACTTTATCACTTCAGTCTTTCCTTCATTAAGAACAAGCTTATTGTCTCTCATCCACAAACGAATGTCTTCAATACAATTCTCTATCTGCCCCATTGGCACCCCGGCATAATCGCACGTATCATACAGCTGAATGTCATCAGTATACAACATATAATCCAAACCATGCTCATTAATGATGTCTGCTAACTGAGTATTGTAGAGACTAAACAAAATCTGCCCAAGGACAGAGCCTAGTTGAAACCCACATTCCAGTGGTAATGCCTTGGACACCATCGATTGAACACTAACACGCTGAGTCGTATTACACAAATACAATGACAACCATTTAATCACAGAACCCTCAATGTCGAACCTATTATGCAACCTATGAATTAAAATCCGATGATCGATGGTGCCAAAGGCAGCTGAAAGATCCAAAAGAATTACAAACACATCAGACTGTCTAGTGAGAGACTACAACACATCATTCTGAACTTTAACTAAGGCCATTTCCGAGCTGTAACCCTCCCGATAGGTGGATTGACATTTACAGAACAAATTATTTTGAGAGAGATAATCATTCAACTGTAATAAAGCCGATTTTTTAAATAAGTTTGAGACAAATGGCAAAGACGAGACAGGCCAATAATTTTTTATCAAGCCTGCGTTTCTTCAAAAACGGACGGACTAAGAAAAGACAAGCAAGAAAATCATAAACGACAGCAGATTTGAACAGCTCAACTGGCAGCTATCACAGCGCCCTCGATGTGAATTGTGCAAGACAATTACATGTATACATAATGGGCGGACCAATCAGAACTGAGATTTCAAGCTTGCTTGAAGATAAGTCATAAATACATGTATGTAATCTTGGTGTGTTTAAATCTATATTTTCTTGGGAAACATTGTCAAAATAACAACTTTACTACAGTAGATTTCCATTATAAAGCTCTCAAGGGGACCTGACAGAATTGAGCGTTACAACGGCATTGTGCAAAAACTGATGTGCCCATTTAGGTCTGAGTACATGTATAGATACATGTACCTAAATATATATGTCATGTATATGTAGGCCTACGTGAATTACATATGTATAAATATAACCAGATGTAAGTACCATAACTTTCAGAATGTACATGCAAGTAGTGCACAACAGCGTATCCACTTCTCCTGAAGTTTTTATGATGCCTATCAAAAACACCACTAAATCTCTTAAAAAACCACCACGGAACCTCATGCATGGTGCATCGCGGCACACGCACTGCTTCCACACCCATCCTAACAGCTACTGAGTATCCATTCATGGAGAGTCCAACCACTGACTTCTTCCGATAACCATGTGACCACAGAAAGTAATATGTCATCAGAAAACCCAAGTGAACAAAGACCCGACATGTTATGCCGAACACTATCGGCAAAAAGACAGGATTTGCTCCACGAAGATGCATATAACATTTAAGCGGCTGATTTTAATTTATCGATACAAAGAAACCTTTAGGTAAACAAATACTAGTATCTCAATATTGATTGTTTGTGTGCCTAACTACACCACAAGAATAAATAAAAAGTGGGAAATTAATCACTATGATGTTGCCACAGCAGAGCAAGTTAAGTTTGTTGTAATTAGACACACATTTCATGCGCTTCCTGACTTCCTGACTCGGGGACTTCCGTTTAATAACTCAAAATCCAGACAACTCGATTTTCAAAACTTATTCTCAAACGTTGATGAGTGTTAAGATATATGGCAATCCAAAAAGATATTACTGTGCCACGTGTGGCCCTGGGCACGGCTCACTGTGGTGAGCACACACTCGCGATTGCGCTGCATGAATGGTATTCGGGCCTATGAACGGATGGCTGAGTGCAGATCTGAACTTTGTGGCATCACTACCACTGGTATCCCAGAGGACGGCCAATTGTGGTGGCCTTGCGATGGCTGTTTCATATGTGTAGATTTTTTAAGAATCTTAATTTCGAAGGAAAAGAGCGCTGTAACCAGAATCAATTCACATGCTTTATATGATTCTCAGGGCCGAAAACCTTGAGCGTTATATCCCAAAAAGCATTATAAACGGGAGTGCTATAACCACAGAAAACTGTGCACAGTGAATGTGTGCGCAGTTCAGGAAATGAAAATTAGCTTTATATCAGCAAGAGCGTTGTATCAGGGAGAGCTATAATGGTAATCAACTGTTCCCTTCACATGTACCTTCAACCTGGATGTGTTTTATGTAAAGAATGAAATGATCAAATTTTATCATGGCATGCACTGATGAATCAGCAACTGTACACATCAATTACACATGGCCTACCTGCAATGAACCACAATTGGCCCAGCATCGGGGGGGTTACAGGCTTTAATACGATTAACAAATGCCAGGACCTGTGTAGCATGCTCAGGAACACCATGATCTGGCCAGCCTGTGAATTGAAACTGACGTACCTCACGTTTGTCTGCTGGTTTCTGTTAAAAATGACACACCAACAAAAACTCATCATAGTAATTGCACAGTAAATACAGAAGATATCTGGGCAATAAAAAAGTTATAACAGCTAAAAATGTTCACTTGTAAATGAGCCTCAAATGCAACGAAATTTCTTCCTCATAAATCTGAAATCTGCAGATCTGTGGAAGATTCTCATACCTGTACAATATGAAAAGACACAAATAGCCCGTACCTTAATATTGATCAAGGAGAAGTTGCGAACTGAGTAGGTTGCCAAGTCTGTCATATCATGTAGGGTGACCTGAATATCACCGTAGGTCTCCTGTCCTTTGCTTGGCCAGTACTGATCACACTTGACACGGTTTCTCTCTTCCAATTTGGTCATCATCACCAGAGTGCATGTCCGCTGCTCCCAAACCTTAAAGCATTACCAATTTAAATCCAAGCTTTTTAATTTATTGGTAATGAACTTTTTTGTTGCTTTCTTTCAGGTTCGTTTGGTAAATTAATGTTTACAATGGAACATCCCTAAAACAATGAGGTCCTCAAAAATGTTTGGTACAGCAATTTTCAGTCACAGATGCACACTCTTGTTCCGAACTCCAGCCCATTCAAATACATGGCAGCCTGCCAAATAAAAGGTTTGAATATGAGGATTTTGAGCCAACACTTACCAAAAAAAGAAGTTAAAAATAAAAATTGACATGAGAGGTAGTGGTTGTTACATCAACAACCTTAGAGTTGTATCGGAGTTTGAGTGGTTTAGCAGGTAAGTGTATTATGATTACGAGCTGTGCCCATTTTGTTCATGGACAAGCAGCTGGAATAAGAGTGCACACCTGACATAAAGTCAGTCTTATGGAGAATAGTGTCGAACACTGGCTGTCAAAAACAAAGGGGAAAACCAACGGAAAAAATAACTAACATCATAATGAAGTCATTTATTTTTCAATCAATCAATCTGCAATAATTCTTGTATCAGTATTTTTGTTGCGTGTAACCTTGACAATGATCAAAGATCTCAAAGTTAACAAAATTGTGGCTTGAAACATGTACAAAGTCAATGGGCTGAGATAAATAATGAGAAATCAACAATAAAGCAAATGATGAAGTCATCATGACATCATCCATTTGGCATAATTCCTGTATTGGGGACTCTGTTCGCTATCACTTTGATAAAGCTCAAACATTATAAAACGTGTACAAACTCTATGGAAAAGAGTCTGAAAATGGCCCCCCAAAAAAGAAACTAGAGGTTTTGTCTGTCTTAAGGACAGAGCAAAGGGCTTTTTCTTTCTTTAAGAAAAGGGCATTCCTTCATTTGGGATACTACTACCTTTGCATTTCTTACTTCTTACTCAAACATCTATCCAAGGGTTCCTAAAATTTATGATATTATTTTGGTGACCTCATTATGATGAAATATTCGAACCCTTTTGGACATTAGGAGATATAACGAATGAAAGTTTGCACCCTTTACATCATGTCACCCTGTCTATAACACTTCCCATTGTAGCTATCTTTGAAATTTCAGCCCAATCAGGCATGAAGTTCATGAGATATAGGGCTGTAAAGAATACACCTTTAAAGTCACATGACTAGTCACATGATGAAGTTACATCACATCACATCAATGTTCTTTTAAACTCTTCCCTTTCAAGATATCTATAAGGTTTGAACTCAATCAGACATGTACTTCATGGTACATAATGCTGTGAAGAGAACACCTTTAATGCCACATGACTTGTCACCTGATGACGTCGTCATCACATGAGGTCAATAATCGTCTAAATCACTTCCCTTTCAAGATATATGCGAGGTTTGAACCCACATGACATATACATGTACTTCAGTAGATATAGTTTTAAATAGCGCACCTTAATGTCACATGACTCGTCAGCTGATGACATCGTCATCACATGAAGTCAATCTCCATTTATAAACCTTCCCTTCCTAACTATCAGCAAGGTTTCAACCCAATCAGACATGTACAATACAAAATACAATAAAAAAAATACTGTTATTGTGAAAAGAACACACATTAAAGAATAAGAGATTTGTCCCTTCGGCCTTCCATACAATGCGATTTGCTCTCGGCACCAAATGTTTGGCATTTTACCAGGTCCTGAGTATATGCCTTACGCACAGTGTGCTGCCTGCCACACGTTACAGGCAGATATTGCATGTCCACACATACAGCAGCCAATGCACAGTGTGCTAAAGGGACTTTCAAGTTCGCAAATATTGTAAGAGGTTTAGTACACCACTTTTGCACTTCATGCAGTTGACTTCAATATTTTTGCTATCATCTAATGAAAATGTATAGCGGATAATCAGTATTGCGAAATTAACTGCCGAACGTTTCATTGTCATGTTGAATAGCGCCCTCTCGTCTAACTGAAGTGTGCCCTCTTGCGATACTATGCTTCCCTGTTTTCCTGATGTTTTGCCGTTGCTCTCACGTTCAAGGTTTTTTAAACTGTATACTGTATCTGTTGAGAACATTTTTTATGAAATGTTAAGTTACAAAATTAGTTTCAAATTTATCCTAGAAGTCGTGATTAATCTTTGCTCAGCCTTAATGTTGTTTCCGTGCGCTATAGCGCTAGTGTGTGAATTGAATGAACGGTACGCTACCAGTATCATCCGAGCAGCACACGATGTGATGTACATAGATAATTCTCTGAACTCTGTGAAAGTTAAAGGAACCAGCAAATAGAAATAATTGCACATAATTTTCTTGCATATATCTAAGTTTTATTTGCAAATTATATTCAAACCCCCTTTCTGAATGTAATGATATATCTAACACAGCCCCCTTCTAACTAAACTTGGAACCATCCCATGAAAATTATCTTCCCAAATAATATTTCCCATAATTATAAAATAAATAGACACAAGAAAAACACAAGACAACTTCTCAGTTTTCTTCTTCTCTTGACGAATTGTCATTTCTTATTTTTTTCACTTCTCTTCTCATGTACATGTATTTACAATAATTCAAACTGAAATTTAGAAATAAAATGACTTTCTTGTAAAAACACTTAGGGAAAAAAGAGTAGTTGATAGAGTAGTTGCATTAATTACTAAATGATTCAAGTGTGAAAAACCTTGAACAAGGAGCAGGGCAAAGTGCTCCTTTGCAAATTTCACTCATAAATCTAGTCTCTTTTCTTTTACCTTCTTTGTAACAAACATCACACCGTCTGTATGATCTAGCTTGTGTTCCAGTTGGGGGAATTTCTACAAAAAAATGTCTTTCTATCAGTCTACCTGGACCAGGAAGATGGGAGGGTCTACCTCAAGATCGATACACTGGCAAATTTGGTGCACGCAACTCTAAAATCTCACTCACTAACGTGTCTAAATGTCAAAAAACTGTCAGTGCCACCAATCACCTTATACCAGTGTTGTAGTCGAGACCTTTATGTCCGCGACCGAGGCCAAGGCATTCGAGACCGAGACCAAGACCGAGACCAGCTCTTTCAAGACTGAGACCAGAACTTCGAGACCGAGACTTTTGCAGTTGGAGACCGAGACCAAGATGACCGTGACCTTGCACAACATATGCAATATATAGGCCTACATGTAGTTCATTGATGGTAAACATGGTGGACAATTGGCATTAAAGAGCAAAATTAAGTGCAAATTTTACATGTAAAGCACACAACATATTCAATATTCCATGAAAGAGTTTTATTTGAACTCTGGGAAAAAACAGCACACAGTTATTTTGACCATGAAGGCATGGACTGCCAATGGTATAGAATTTTGTATAGAGTATACGGCATAATCGTACATTAAACATGTACATGTACAGAGTTGTTGTGTTCCATATGTAGAGCAAAATTAACGTGGGCGGGTCACGTCCAAATGTTTAAAAAGGCAAAACGTGGGGTCTGAGTTGCTCGGACTATGCCAAAAGGTGTGCAGGAGTTCAATTTATGAGTTATACTCTGTAATGATCAATGGACAGGTTAGAATGGTCACACATCGTGGGCAGTTCCCTATTAAAAGTACATGTACACATACACACAACTGACGTATGTGTACCAGTAAAATGAAAGAGGTACTGCACGCAAAGTACCAGTGCTCCGGGCTGAGAATATGCATTAGTCTCCATTCCAGCTTTGATTTCATTCTTTATCGTGAATACCATGTCGTACATGTTCCAAGCATACATGCGGAATTGCGTGCAGTTTGGAACTACATGTAGACTCATTCGGAGGTAGACTTGCACTGAAAGCAGCACTGCTATATACATATGTGTGCTGTATGTACTATATGATCCAGGTACGTGATTTTGACGCGGCCGAACGTGAATTGTTGACACACATTTCCTGCATTTCTGTCATGGTGTCGGCAGGTCTCGGGTGGGAGACCTGAGACCTTGGCATCCGAGACCGAGACCGAGACCAAGACCGAGACCAGCCCTCCCGAGACCGAGACTCTTGTAGGCCGAGACCAAGACCGAGACCGAGACCTCAAAAAAAAGGTCTGGAGACGGTCTCAAGACCGAGACCAGGTCTCAAGACTTCCAACACTGCCTTATACACAAGATAAGAGTTTACAAGAGCAACATCAAGCAAAAATAAGAACACTTTCTTATACCACTTGATTGATTTTCTGACTGAACGGTGTGACGATGCCAGCTGGTTTGCAATGTCCACACCCTTCATCCCCTTGTTGTAGTCGAGTACACGCCTGTGTTTTTCCAAAGTGATGCCGTCGTGGTCCTGCTTTCCGGTGTCGGCCATCTTGGCTGTAGGCATCGTGGACAGCATACGGACATCTTTTTGGTCTTGCCAGACCAAGGCGAGCAAGCCCTGGTCGCAAGAGCGGTGAACAACACCACCTCTCTCGAGTGTCAAGGAGCACAAGTCCTTGGGCATGTCTTGACGATTGCTTCTCACTGTCCCGACGACATTCGTCTTCTGGTCGTATAGTTTCAGGTACAGTTCAGGGCTGCTGAACCAGTTGTCCAGGAAAATGGTGTACCCTTTGCCAAGAAGATCGGCATTCAAGTCAAGTATGATTTTCGTACTTGCCAGTCCAACAGTCTGGTCTTGACTGCTGTAAATCTTGAAGTTCCAGGTGTATCAAGCGGCAACACCCGTGCTCTGGCAGACTCGATACACCTTGATGCCAAACCTCGCACACTTCTTGGGGTTGTACTGCTTGAACTTTAGTCTCCCTTTGAATTTCCAAAGGGACTCGTCGGTAGTAATGCTCCTAGACGGAATACAGAATACAGAATTCTTGAACTTCTCGGTCAGTTCATCTATCACCGGGCGGAGCTTGTAGAGTCGATCGGTCGTTTCTGCATGGCTGTTATTGATGAAATGCAGATGGGACAGCAAGTCCATAAATCTGTCACGGGGCATGGTATTAGGGAAAAACAGTGTCTCAAGTATTGAGTTCTCGTCCAGTAGGACTTCAAGTTGGGTTTCGGCATCAATCCCATGACAATGATCATGGACAGGAACACTGACATCTTGTCTGGTGTTGTGTCGAACCAGCTTCTCATGTGACTTGGACTTGCTGCTTGACCTTTCGGGTGTTCAGTGGCATAGCGGTTGGTCTTGTTTGCAATGTGCAACGTCAACTCTGGAGTGAAGAACTGCTCGAAGATTTCGACAGGAGTGCTGTTCTCGTCCAGTTCTTGCTTTTGAACACCCGCTGTGCCTTGAAAGCCATGTCGGCGGGGAAAGTTGTCATCAGCCGTCCATTGAATGGATGAAGTCTTGACCTTCTTCTTGGCCGGCCTTGCTAACGGTGGTGGTGGTGGTGGTGGTGGTCGCTGTCACTAGTTTCAGTTTCTGAACTACATGTATGTTCAGATTCCTACGTGAAATCTGAACCACTAGTCTCAGTCAGTTTCCTCTTCACTGGAAGACATCGTGTTACTCAACTGGAGGGCCGCGGAGCAGCCAGGAAAACACATACCGAGCGCTACATAAAACACTCCTTTTTGGACGAAACAAATACCCAATTATGCTGAACAATGGACCGTCTATATCCTGAGTGTGGGTGCTGGGGTGCTGTGCACGTGTTCAGGGCCCAGCAGAGCTGTTAACAATGGCTCGCACACCATGTCAATGACCTGTATTCATCACGTTCCGGGCCCACACAATGCACGTTGCATAAGCGCTGACAGCGGAGTCAGCGACGCTCCACGGAGATTACCCAGGGTATTCAAAGACAAAGGGGGTGTTCTAATGAATAAAATCCAGTTTACTGGGTATCTTGGGGTCGACCAACTCTCCTAGTTGCCCCAGATTTCCATTCAATGCAAAGCTCCCAGTAACTTCAGGTGTACAATAAATAAAAGTTGCAGGTGTGGTATGCGGCTACCGCACAGCTGTTCGTGTAGCAACTCGTAAGGTTTACACTAGGGTTTCAATCTTTACTCCAAACACTGTTCATTATTAGGTGCTGTCTGGAAGGCCAAAGTCCACAGTCCCACACCGGCCTGGCATTCGGGGTAATTTTAGGGATTTTTAGGAATTAGAGGAATTTTAGGAATAAAGGATTTGAATTGTAATTAACTGTGATCAAACCTTGATATTTGAACCCCCAAAGTTGACATGTAAATAAAACTCTGTATAATTGAGACAGTTACATTTGGACTCTTCCTGCCCGTCTTCCTTTGCCTTGGAGTCCTTAAACTAATAATTTAAGCAGACCTCCTTAACAGATGGCCTGCCACTACAGTACTACACTGTTTTTGTGTAAAGCTTGTCAACTTATGTTGATACTTGCATTTTTCAACATGTTCATTATCATAAGTAAAAATATCGGATCGGACATCGGCCAATGTTCCGATGAAAACATCGGACACTGGATCAGCTGTTAAAACCGACATTGGTTGAACCCTAACAATGACATAACTTATTACCTTCCCTTACTGCAGTTGGCACTTTTGAGGGAGGGATAGAGAGGAGACAAATTTCCAAAGGGGCCCAAATATATTCATTGGGTATTAGTGTTGGCTGTGCTGAAATTAATTCTTCAGCATCGGAATATTTTTAGAGGCTCGATTTTCTTTCTAGCTTTAGAATGTTTCCTCACAATTTAATAAACTCAGAATAGTTTTTCTCAGAATATTTTCCAAAGACTCAAAATATTATATCTCGATCCCAGGAATAACTAAAAAAATTCTCCCGCCCTCAGAATATTTCCTCCTGCTCCACAATATTTTTCCTGCACCAGAACTTATTTTTCATCAGACTCTCAATACTGTTCACAAGTCTCAGAGCTGTCACTGGACTCAGAATACTTTCTCAAGATTCAGAATATTTCACCCCAGCACTCAAGAGTATTTTACAGAGGTCAATACAATGTACATGTATATTTTCTCCTCCCCTTTGTTTTCCCAGCTACATATATTTTCCCGAACTTCAAAAAATGTTTCAACAGACTCCCAATATATTTCAGGACTCAGAAAATTTTTCCTGGAGTTAGGAATATTTTTCTCCTAGATTCAAAATATTGGATGCTGGACTCAATAATTGTAACTGGACTCAAATTATTCATGGGCCTGGGAATATTTTCCCACCCCACAATTATACCTGTTTTTAAATTATTTTCTCAGACTCAAGAAAAGTTTCACAAGACTGAATATTTTATCAAAATATCAGTACGCAGTGGGGCAGGAAAAAAACATGCGTGATGCAGGCTTGGACAAAACAATGTTCAGATGGGGAGGATTAATATTATTGGTGGATTGAATATCCAAAATGAAAATAATCAGTATGCGGTGGGGCAGAGAAAAATAAACCGTGCATGATCCAGGTTTAGAACGAGCAATGCTGAGATGGGCCTTGTCAATCAAAAGATGCAGCCACTAAAAAAAGGCAACTGGCTCCATTACCTGGCAGAAGTATACATTTTATACTTTCAGTCAATTGTCAATCTTTGTTTAAATAAAATGCTCCTCAGGGACTTTGTTTAAAATAGAGTATCATTGTTTAATCATTGATCCTCCGTCCAAATTGAAAATTTGCATTTTGGAAACAGTTTTGTAGTACACGTATCTCCTGCTCACAGCATACTGACCACATTTCACAGGAACTTGACTCTATTTGAGCTGAAGGCAGACTGAATAATTTTCAGATGTAGGAAAATGACTGTACTCAGACTGTGAAATTCAATCTAAACTTTCGAGCTGGGTTCCCTTCCCACTATCCCTTGCTTGGAACTTGGGACTCACTTCCACAGGACTCCTCTGTGGATAAAATTGACACTGGACATTGGCGTGCCACAGCGAACCTTGTATGAGAGAAGAATTTCCCTATTCATGCTGCTCATTAACATAACAATGCGAATGCACAATAGGGATATTTAATGAGCTGAAGACTGGTCTGGGCACCCTCTGCAGCGCGTGTAGAGGGTAGACAGGCGACTTGGAAAAATGCACTGTGGGGCGCCACGGCGGCTCGCTGTGCGCCGATTAAAATCTATCCGATATCATGTCTTACGTGGATGGGGGAGGCTTTAGTTGATGAGCCTTCACATTCTTGCAGGTACATCCAGGCCTACATGTGCATGCCGTATAATAACTGTTAGCTTCGTCATCATCCATGGTGATCGAAAGTCTTTTAAAAATCCCTCGATCGATGCTTTCACATGTATTTGTTTTTTATCTCACATATACATTAAACATGACGTCATATGACAGTGTAGTTCATTTTATTCTAAACACATCGCAATATATTTGATTTATCTTTTTGATATCATCGAGATCAACCATGTTCACACGTTTGCATGTATATGTACAGTACATTGTACATTGCATTGTACACAATTGGACCTATTCATGCGATCCACATACAACAAATTTCGGATACAATGAACAAAATTTCTACTTGGTCTTACAGATTTTGTAATAGCAAGAGTTGACTGTACACAGAAATCCTTCATCCTTGAAATTTAAGTAATATTTTCAAAATTATTTGGTTGTTTACTCACCATTCTCCAGAAGTCTCCAAGTGTTTCTGGCAATGGCCCTTGTGTAGCAATATAAGCATTCTGCTTACGGTAGCCATCACAATAATTTGCATTGATGTAATCACTGCCTGGAAGGCCATCTACACGTGACAGGATGACCCGCGAGTGGTCGTATGCAATCACATTGGCATAGCGATTCTTCGGCTTGTTCACCTCTAGATTAGAATGGTCCCATGTGAACTGTTGACCTGGTTCAATGGACTAAAGGAAGTAATAATGTATAATGAAATATGCCTCTAATGGATTGCGAGAGAAGAACTTCAAGAGACTGTTCAGTAGCAATTGTTTGATATAAATGATTTTTTGCCACTATGTGAATCAAATGAACCCAAATCAGTGTTACACATGCTGCAAACTTATGCGTCATTGTGCAGGCTCTGATGCATAGCGAATCATGCCAAAGTTTCAGCATGGGTTCCATCAATATCAAGCTGGTCTACATATCTCATGAAACTGAAATAATCCAATCTGAATAAATGTGTGCATCTGCTCATCTTGGGGAGTAAAAATGTGACAAGTAAAACACAATCAAATACAAATGTAACTTACCTCATATTCCTGGGAGAAGAGGAGGTTTTCATTGCTCTTAAGATGCTCAATGTGGTCACTCAATTCCATGACAGGGATAGGAGGATGAGACATCATAGCTTCATTGCCAAATGCAAAATTACATATGTCAGAAACTAATGTAAATAAAGAACTAATTACTGCAGGAGTTACAAGGAACTTTACAGGAACAATTCTAAGACGAGTTCTAAGAATTTACTTACATTACCTTTTGAAAGCATTCTAAAAGTTACCTTCACAACAAGCATAACTTCTACAACTTGAACATGGAACCAGACTTTCATGTTTATTTGCTGGATTTGAAATTTTCAATGTAGTGCTTACCAGGAGTTTGATAGTTCATTCTTCTCATCTCCACTGGGTCAGATGGGTTGGATGTCTTCACTTCCTTGCGCTTTGGTCTACGCACACTGGGGTCACTTCTCCTGTAAATGGAAGCATTAACCCCGTCAGTGCGAACCACGTCAAACTTCAAGATACATACAATTAACTGAACAGAAACCCAAGTGGAAATTCAAATTCCATGCAAAACAGACCTCTTGAATTTCAGCAAGACAACGATGACAATGATGACTACAAGAACGAGGACACCGACGACTGCTCCAATAATGGCAGCCAAAGGACTACCACTAGTTTCTTTATCTTTTTCTGGTGGGTTATTGCTGTTTGGCAGAGTTTCCCCACTAACTGTTACACTCTGTTTCTTGGCTTGCACTGGATGGATATAATCACTGGAAGTAACCAGTAACTCCTGCAAAGAATATAAAAAATGCTTTCATGACTGGCTTGTTGTGTGAAACAATGTGACAAAGACATAAATGGTCTTTTACACTTATGTTTGCTAGGCAAATTTTTCTTATTGGCTCATTAGCGGCAGTAGTAACACATAATGGAATTCTTATTGACAAATTAACAAAATGCATTTTTGCACATGTAATATACATGTATATGCTATAGTTTTATTATATTTGGAATTTACAAACTTCCTTTTTATGAACCAAACTTTCTACTCCGGTACTTTTCATGAATTTCAAAACAGCAATAAAGAAAGTATGTCCTAATTCCAGTTCTCTGACCATCACAGAATCACCATTCACGATTTCATGTTGGCTTATCAAAACTTTTAAAAGTTAATGTCCCTCTGTACAAGGAAACAGAGCATGCTACCATCCTTTATGTCTCACCTCAAAAATGATACTAGCAATTTGATCTCATGTGTTTTGGAGTAATGAGTGGGTGCATGAAAAGCAATTTGTTTTCACAGGATTCAAACAAATGAAATTTATTTGCAGTTTGTTGGTCACTCTACCTCTAAAACCTCAATTTTCAAAATTTATTGTACGTTTTACTGTGGATACCAGTTTAATGATCATATTACTGCAAAATATAGGAACTGGCACAACCAAAGTGCTTCAACATGAACATATGAAAATGAATTTGAAATTTACAATTTAGGCAGGAAACCCAATAACATAACATTACTCAAAGTCTCACACAACTGAAAGAGGCAATTTGCAAATTAAGTTTGAAACAAAATCTCAAACAAACTGAGTTATCTGACTGCACATAACTTTAGGGAGCTTGTCCAAAAGGTCACCACAGTTTAACTGCACACGGTCACCGCAGTTAAGCCCTGTTGCTAGGAACTGCAGCGACCACGTTGAAGTTCACTCATGCCAAGAACATTTAATGAGGCAACCCCGAGATGAACGCAATTGTTATGCTGATTGTGTCTTGAATTGTGCATACATGCCACGACGACCGCGGTCAACCCAAACATTCTATGCGTGGCAGATGCTCAGGCAGATGCTCAGTGTACACATGTACATGCACATGTTCATGTATATCTACTCGGAATCTACTCAGAATGTAGGCGCTGCATTTGCAGTTCAAAGCCTCAGGGACATAACGCAGTGAATTCTTCTCAGAAAGTCACAAAAAGCAGACTGTATATGCTACAAAGGTGATCCGCGCAATGCCCGAAAATATACATTTTATTCAGCACAACGTCGAATCACACACGGAGAGCGCTATCCAGTATTTCAACATGTGCGCAGGTGTTCATGTAGGCTAGAGGTACATGTACTGTACATGTACAGCATCGTTCACACGCATGTGTACACCCAGACTCGTGCAAGGATAACAATGTGACTTTTTGTCACTTTGTGAAAATAGAGAAACACAGAGGCTAAGCTTTTTGTTAGTTGTTTGTCAGTTACTACAAAATTAAACAACATTTCGCTTTGAAACTAATTTGTTCTTTAGATCAAAGGAAGTAAAATGGTAGGAAAAACTCCAGATTAAAAAATTTTCAATTCTCTGCCGGCGGGTTTTTGTCACTTCGTGAAAACACCGCCGAATTAATCAAATACATTGTGATGTGTTTAGAACACTAAAATTCATTGTCATATGAAAAATGTTAAAAGTATTGATCCAGGGATTTTAAAGGGCTTCCAATCGCCATGCACGACAAATAAACAGCACGCACATATACGCCTGGGTGTACCTGCAAGAATGTAAAGACTCATCAACTGAAGCCTCCATCTGTGTAAGTAGTCTTCCAAACACAAATTATGTCATGGAGAGACACTTTTATTTTATCTTCCATCTGTCTTATGATTTGACACCAGCTATGATTTATTGATAGTCAAAGTTCATTCGCCCACCACGTGGCATACGAGATGGTCGCTGAAGAAGCACAATGTCATGAAGGAATACATGTATTGCGATTGGATAGATGTCTTGCAAGATGTACGTCATGAAAACGCACAGTCTCATTGGTGGGTACGCTAGATCTTTTGCAGCAATATAAATAATTCAGTGTAGGACAATTAGTTGGACTCTTTGAGATGTGAGAGTAGTCAAGCGAACTTGTTTGACCGTATTTGATCAGAATTGGGAAGGGAAATTTTGTTTTGACGTTTTTGCAATCAACGTAAAAAATCACTGATCTTTTAACCATGCTTTACGTTTGTCATGACTACAGGAAACTGGCAAATGATGTCCGTGTATCGCATTGTAAGAGTGCGTGATGCATCTGGAGGGGCGGGTGATTAGCCTCTTGCTGCGTCTGGAAATTTTGTGGGAACACCCTTGTTTCGAATATGAGCAGTACATACATGAACACAGAAAACACAAATATACACATGAGATCACTTTGTGTGAATGAACCTGCAGAAACATTTGTGATGGCAGTGGTTTTTTCTGACTTGCAACTGTAGAGCTGCAGTCGTATTTGATGTAAATGTAGTGGAATGTTCACAACCCTTTTTGGCAGGAATTGTACACTGACTGACTGCCGCATTTCCCTCACACCTTCTTTGCCAACACGTACGCAAAATTTTGAAGTCGAACTCACTTATCTCAGGCAAAATATCGCTACAAACTTTTCATGACGTCGTATTCGCTTCTTTTCATGTTCACCTAAAGGCCAGCCTTTTCACTTTTATGGGTGTTTATTAAATTTGCTCTTTCCTCTTGCCCTTCACCAAAAACGTACCCAATGGCCAATTGACCATGTAGGTGTACATCTATTAATAAAGAAACATACGAGACAAATATACCCGCTTTATTCACCACTTGAACATGTACATATTCTATAGACTGTTAAGTCTAAAGAGTCACTTTTAGCGCTTCTCAAAGTAGCTCCGGGATGATGACCTGGAGGTTGCTGGCACAGTCGGAAAAAAAAAGACACATGGGGGCTATATACGATCATAAACTTGGGGATAATTTGAATTTTACCCAAAAACATAGTAACAAGAGACACAAAAATCTAAAGCAGAAAACGGGTTTGCTGTCATTAAGCATTTGGGGGAAAAAATGCTTCTTTGAGAGGCTAAGATGTGCAAGATTTCTGAAATGCATGCTCAGTATTTGTTTTCAGATTGAAAGACTTCATTCTGAACTTAACCTACCCCTTTTACTAGAAAACTTGCGCAAAAATGACCAATAATAGAGGGATCCCAATACAATACTTTTAACATCGATCTGCACACTTCCGCGTTTAAAAACGAGACTGTATGTGTCAGCTTCAATTCTTAATACGATCAGACGATTGAAAGTAAGAAGTCAAAGACACAAAATACATAAAGGTTTGTTAAATGCAGACTTCAGGCTGCAAATTTTTGTGGAAGAGTCTTTTCAGGATGACTGGACATGTAAAATCAAAAGAAAAAATAACGACAATTTACCGCGAAGTAACGTACCTGCGATGGTCGTGTATCTTGTGCAGTGGGCGTGGTTTAAACTGAAGTGGCATCCCACTTATGAACCGGACACTGCATGTACTGTGTGGACTCCACGTTCAACGCAGGGAGCCACAGTTTTGATGCAGACGGCGCTAATGTGAAATCCCTCTATTATCATATTTTCTTTGACAAAAAAGAATTCTAGTTACCTCTTGTGTATTTACGTATTTACAGGGCTCGGCCTTCGTGGTCGCCCGCTCAGCAAATGCAAATGAAAACTCGGGCCGACAACCCTAAAATCTTTTATCAGTAGTCCAGCCAGTGAGTTAAAAATGTCGTACCCAGACATTCCAAGAACCCTGTGGCCTTTTTCTTTCCATCGAATAAACAGTATCTTGACCGCAGGACAGGTAGACATTCCCCTGGTCCAGTGCTAGCGCACAATGGGTTGACTGGACGAAATAAACAATAGCCGCACCGGCTGTACTAAGTAGGCATGTACCATTTTCGTTGTGGAGTTGACCTGTACTTCATTTTTTTCGTGCTGAAGTATAGATAATTAACACGGCTGGCCGGTGCGGAGTCATTGTAATTGTACATGTACAGTAAGTGCATCCAGTACAGCTGCGTGTACATGGGCCTTCTTATCTTGCTATCATATTTAAATTATTTTTTAATCAATGTTGACCGTGATGTGGCGATTTCTTCCCAGTGTCTCAGACCCGAGCGCTGGCTCATGCAAGAAAATGAAACGAGAGCGAGACCAAGAAAATGAAAAAGCAAGCATCGGCAGTCATACAGAAAAGAGTGGGAAGTTGAGTTCAAGTGGCTAGTCTTTGACAAAGAGGAAGGGCTGATGTTCAGCAAGACATGCCGAAACACAAAAGTAACAGCGAGTAGCAGGAAAAAACAAAATGTTTTCCACAAGGTCAGCGATACTTTCAAGATGGAATCGATCAAAGCACACCAAACAAATGAAAATCACCGTCTTGCGGAAGCCAGACAAAAATGCAAGAAAAGCAGCCCCGGGCACCAGTCCAGCGGGAATCATGGTGAAGGAAATGAATGTCGCGGCAGTCGATCGCTTCAAACATTTTTTTCGAAATGCACATGCCCTGGCCCTTCACTGCTGACCTTATACCAAGTACCAATGGTTAGCCGAATTGGATTCCGACAAAGGAGTAGACATCGGTTCTGTGTACCACACCAACAAGTCAGTGTGAATATTCGTGCATTACATTGCAGAGGTATGTTTTATTATCATTTCCTATCATTTAATTTCATTTAGGTCGGATACAATTTTGACGGCTTTGCCACATAATAAACAATCAGCAGGGCTAGTCGTTCATGTACATGTAGGCCAACACGTTCAGTCACTCGCATGCTGCAAATAACTGTAACGCACACAAGAAAGTACACGTACTGTACAACAGGCCGAGCACGTGTAGTAAGTGCAAACAATACATGTACCGTATGTGAGTGCAAAACTGCATGGAGCGCATTGGCACAGCCACGTTATACATGACATTGTACTTAGGCTGTCCTGCCGCCGAAAAAAAAA